CGACAAAGGGGCTGATCCTGTCACTATGATCACCCACTCAGATGAATTCTCAGATTGTCCCAACATACACATGTTTTGATCCCTGCTAAGGATCTCACTAATTGGCATATCAAAGACAACCCGATCCGACACCTAGTGAAGTGTCATAATCGAGTCTAGGGGTCAGGTGTAACTTTCCAGTTTTGCCCATCTGTCTCCAAGGTTCAGGGTAGTACTAGAAATCTGGTCCGGTTCAAGGATTCGAGTAATCCCATACTGCATGTGCCTTGGGTCTTACCCTGGTGGCCGAGATAGGCCATCCTAATACTTGGTGGCACACCAGTATTAGCCTTGGTAGGATAAATCTCCCCAGACTTATCCAATGGTTGTGAACATTTAAAACTAACACGAGTCTCTATAAGTGTCCAGTTTTAGGGTTTTACATAGAATTATACCAAACAACATGAATCAAACATGCACTTTATTTATTTACACTAAATATCAAAAGTACATCAAATCAGATTGAAGCTAAGGGCATACAAAATTGTCTAACAGGTAAAACTTAGAACTTACCTTGTGAAGGTCGGTTCGAGGGTCAGTTCTAGCCTTGGTGGTTCTGGGGTCAGTTCTAGGGTCTACCCATGAAACTTGTTCTTTCTTTATAACTTCCCTAGAACCGGCCCTAGAACCACCAAGGCAAGAACTGACCCTTGAACCGACTTTCACAAGGTAGGTTCTAGGTTCTACCATGGAACCGACCCTCTAACCAAATTTTACAAGATAAATTCCAGGCAGGGGCAGAGCTAGGGAGGACCTAGGGGGGCCCTATGGTTACTTCCTATGTAAAATTTTCCCTCCCCCACTCTCTACCTCAATGGTTGGCCCCCCCATGGGGTCCATCCATACTTCATTTAGGTTTTGACCCCCCTTATAAAAATTTCCTGGCTCACCCCTATTGCCTAACATCTCCCCAACATATGCATTCACGCGGCCCCTACTCAATTCTATTGTCCATTGATGCCATATATGTAGTCTTTTGTGTTATTCGGTGTTGATTTCATTCGTATTCCGATCGAATAGGTGGAGGTGGGCTACTCCCCGAAAATGGCCCACCCGTAGATTGGTTTGTCGTTGGGGCATGGCGTTCCGAGGAGGGAGCGATCGAATAAAGAAGTGGTGGCCAACAGCTAATAGGGAATTGTGGCCGAATCATCATGTTTAAAAGAGTAGTACACCCATCATTGGCGATGGTAGAGTGGAGATTTTAAATTTTTAACCAGAGGAGAATGTACATATATAAGCACTCGCACAGTCGCACTCAGATCAGACTGAGATCAGTAGACTTGAGTTTGGTCTGGCATGAAAATCGCCGGACATCCCACTTTAAGCTATCTCCCATTTTTTCACAGGCATCGTCAAACATGGACGAGATGTTCTTCAATTTCTCCTCAACCTCTGTCCGGTTTCTCGTCAAGTACCCTTACTACCTCCTCTCTCACCAAAAGAGTAGTCGTTGTAAGTCTTATTTCCATCAATCCAAAAACAGCTTTGCAAGCTTATTTAGAAACTAATTGAAGAACTTTTCCAATCAAGGCCTGGAGAATCCTTCATGCGCATTGCTCAAAATGGGTGTCTCATCAAATAGATATATAGCCATCACGCTCTTAATCATGTACTTGAATTGCAAGAAAACTCTAGACGTTGATAGAATCTTAAAAGAATTTGGAGAGTGATATTGTGGCATGGAACTGCGTGATTTCGGCTCATAACTATATTATATATTGAGAGACTAGAGAATAATACAAGAGACTCTAATTAAGATCGAGTTGGGGGATGAAGCTGGGTCTGAAAACCCTTGATGAGCCTTTTCTTGTTTGCCTTGCTCTGCTATTGGTGGCTATGCTAGCTTCTAAAATTTATATTTCCTCTTTAATTAATTAATCATAGATGGAATTGGACCACGCTAAGCTCGTCGTGGGCTTCATTCAAATTCTTTCTGCCCAAAGAAACTCAAAAAATTTACTACTACACGTACAACTACAGCCACAGAACAAGAATGCACAAATCCTAAGAAAGAAAAAAAAAAAAAAGATCCAAAAAGAACTCTAATTAACATATATATATGGATGACTATCATTGGCGAGACGATATTAAAAGGGCGGTGTAAAGAAGCTGGTTCCAGACATCTGGAACGCCGGGGAGGCACCAGTGGCTGCAATCTTGTATCATCCCTGCTGCTTGTCTGTGGCCCTTGGGCTGCCGGAAAATGGATGGGTGACCATCTTTTCGATAATCCGTCATTCTTGTAACGTTCAAGTAGAACACAGGTGTTCTCATCTCCCTAATCACAGACTCAAGGATGTTCATCATCTGAGGATATGGTGCAAGGTAGGAGCTGTTGGTAATTGGTTGGGTCTCATTCTCACAATTCCCCCCTGAACTCCATTGCCCACCTCTGCATATATTAATTGATTGCCATCACAATTCACAACTTTAGAAAAGATTCAAAATCAGTCCTTTCAGCATTGCTTAATGCTTACTTGATTTGAATTATTTTACCTAAAATGAGAAGCCGAGTATCCCCGAAAGAAGACCCTGGTGCGATCTGAATCGATGTTGCCATCGACCCACCGTGCCCATGTGTGCAATGCCTTTGTATATGCTTCTGCCACGCCAAGTTTGCTGTGGACATGATCGCCTTCCTGAAAGTAATCCTTCCTGAACACAACAATGTATCAGAATGACAGAATCCATTAAAACTTAAGCAGTGTTATATATAAAGAAAATGCATGCGTGCACAGAAGAATTAACAGTTTCTTGTATTAATTGCAGAAATTACCCTCGAGAGGTTTTCTGGTGCGTCCACCAGTGGCCTGTGTTGAAGATGATTATATCGGCATTGAAGTACTTTGAGGAGGATCCGTGGATCAGGTCGAGTCTGAGTGTCTCTTTCCGAGCTCCGGTACTGTCATTAATCTTCCATTCTTGCACCAGGAATGGCGACCGGAAGAACTCGATGGAGCAGTTGTACTCCTACATACAAGAATTCCAAGAAAAACAGATAAATTTGAATATGAGTGAGTGAGTTCTCCTAGTCCTAGGAATCGACGTAAAGCTCCTGGTGGAAAGAAAAGAAAATCAGGTCTGTGACGTTAGTTCCTGCAGGCTAACAACTTACTGTGAATATGAATGAGTAGAATCCTTGGGTCCTGAACTCGTGCCGTCCTGAAACCTCAAAAACTCTGCTTTTGTTCATCACAGACTCTCTTAATGCACAGACGAGCGACTGCCACATGTTGCGATTCAAGGAATCGCCAACGAAAGCAAGCCTTTTCCCTTTCAATATCTCCAGCATTTCTTTCCCGTCCAACCTAAAATTCAACTCATCATCAGAGTAATAACAGAAATGCGTGATATTAGAAACCCTTAAGTTAGAGACATTCTTCCCACCTCGGTATCTGACAATCGTTTGGCTTCCAGCGGTATCTCATGTAACCGGAGTCCAGCCGACCATTCTTGAAGCAGTTAAAGGCGTCGTCGATGAATGGACACGACCCTGGCTGGTAAATCGGGTCCGAATTGTCGAAGACCCACTTACCATCAAAGATGTCGCAAGAGGTCAAATCTCCTGTTATGTGAGTCTCTGTTTTATTGGTTGATTCTTGGCGGGTTCTTTCAACCGCGGCCACGGTAGAGAATGCGCAGCCGTCGGAATTATTCTTTAGTGGGTCGGAGACGAGATGGTTATCTAAGGGAATGAACGAAGAGAAGGAAGAAATGGAAGTGGAGCTGAAGAGTAGCCGAGAAGCAAGCGTTGCAGAGGTCACCGCCGGGGAGTTGTCGGCGAGCGTTGCTGATAAGTAGAAGAACAGAGCAAGGCCAAAGAGCGACCCGATACAGATGTGGGTTCTTGATCTTGAGAGAGGCCATCTGAGGTTTCTTGAGAACTCCACGAGAATGGAGGCGAGGATCTTGAAACATGCCATGGGAGAAGAAACAGAACAGGGGAAGAGAAGCCCGATTTGTTTATCACGAATGATCCTTCTGGTTCTGTTTCTGTCTTGGTTGCGAACTCGCAATTCGAATCTAGAATGTGAGCGAAGATTGTAGGAGGGAAGGGAATGCTCTGCCTCAGCGTCTCCAGGGGAGGAGGGGAGATGAAACTCAAACTCCGGCGGAAGCTCCTATTTCGTTCGTTGCACATGCTAGACCGAACCCATCATTTACTGGTATGAGTCCGGTGCAACTTGGGAATTTGCTAAAATTCGAATGGGCCCGGAGGGGTTTTGGATTTGGGCCTGAATGTTTGGTCTTCTGGCCTTTTGAGTTCCAACTCTCAGTGGGCTGGGCCCCTCAATCTGATCACAACGACAGGATCTAGTAGGCACAAGATATAAGAGCACCGATAAATATTGTGACAACTGTCAAAAATGGGTATTAATAATTTTTTAAGGATAGGCTGGGGGTATTTTAAGGAATAGATATTAAAAAAGAATTTCTAATTACTCATTTAATGTGCTTACATTGTTGTGCCTACCTGATACGAACTGGATCAGAATTTGGATCAAGTGAATACGATAGCTGTTGATCTGGTGTGGAACTAATGATAACACTCCACATCAGGTATGTTTAAATTCACGGGATCCATATGAGTAGAGAGTGCATCACTGTACCTTGCAGCCGAGGGAGATGTCATCTCTTGCCGGTCAGTGTTTGATCATTAWGGGCTGAGAGGTTAAGTGTAAGACCATTAAGGGATACCTAATGAGCTAATCTTGCACCTGCCCCAGTATTTGGGTTTTTATAAGGTGGTTTGACTCAATGACCATTTAGTGTAAATGTTGGGCCCATTAAGAGCCCATGGTGATGGATTCACGGGTTCACTGTCTCCTACAGTGAATTCGGCCAGGCCTTGTAATAGAGGCTGGGCTGAATCTATGTGGCTGATGTGTAGATCAATGTTTGGGTCCCACGCCATACAAGGATATCCAACTGGGTAGTAGTTTGGAGGATAAGTGAGCATATGAACTTAATGGGCCTAAAGCCCAATTCGAACTGTCTTAATGGGATTAATTAAAGAGGGGCGATTCTGGGATTTAGATCAACAGATAGGATAAGGGATTATCCCTATTCACTCAGAGAGTCCAGATCCAAATAGAGATTTGGATAAGGAAACTCCTAATTGGATTAGGAAGGCTGATCTTTATCTGTAGATAAGATAAGGGATTATTCTTATCTCTTAAAGAGAGTCTAAATCCAAATACAAGATTTGGATTAGGAAACTCCTAATGGGATTAGGAGAACCTCTCTTTAAGGCTATAAATAGAGGAGAAAGGTGAACCCCAAATCATCCTTCAGTTTTATTGATTCTGCTCCACCATACACTGTGTCATCTTCAGTGGGAGCAATCTTTGGTAATCTCCTTGGGCGTGAACACTTTCGTTGGGGGTTATTACTACTCTGTATCAGGTATATCCCTCTCATACCTTTTGGTTTCAGATTTGGTCTGGTTTAGGTTCAAGATTGATCATTGAAAATGTAGTTTTCTAAAATAGAGAATGTGATTCCCACATGACATACACACACAGAGAGAGAGAGAGAGAGAGAGAAATTTTTAAAATTTCGCCCAACCTACCTGCAGGGTTCGGCCATCCATATGATGGATCTCTCATCCCTTCATTTATCACTTATCTATTCATCGAATGGATGTTAAAACTGCTTTCTTAAACGGTGATTTAAATGAAAACGTTTATATGGAACAACCAGAAAGATTTGTTCTTCCTGTAAATGAGAAGAAAGTCTGTAAACTGGTTAAATTACTGTATGGATTAAAACAAACACCTAAACAGTGGCATGAGAAATTTGATTCTTGCATTCTAGCTTTTGGTTTTAAACATAATAGTGTTGATAGATGCATCTACTCAAAATTCACTGAAAATTATGGAGTAATTGTATGTTTTTATGTTGATGATATTTTTATTGTGGGTACAAATATGGTTGGCAGAAATGAAACTAAAAACTACTTATCATTTGTCTTTAAAATGAAAGATTTAGGAGAAGTAGATACCATCTGGGAAATAAAAATTAAAAAGCATAGTAGGGGTTATGCATTAACCCAATCACATTATATTGAAAAAGTACTTGAGAAATTTAAGCATTTAGAGTTTAAAGAATATAGCACGCCATATGATTCTAGTATAAAGCTAGTAGAAAATACTGGTAGAGCAATTGCACAACTTGAGTATCCTAGTGCAATAGAAAGCTTGATGTATGCTATGCTTTGTATTAGACCTGATATTGCATTTGCAGTAAAACTCAGTTAGTTTACAAGTAATCCCGGTGCAGAGCACTGAAAGACAATTGGGAGAGTTCTTGGGTATCTCAAGAGAACCTTGGAACTTGGCTTATTTTGCTGTGATTATCTATTTGTACTAGAAAGGTATACTGATGCAAGTTGAATTAACGGTAATTGAGATAACAAGTCCACATCTAGATGGATTTCCGTCCTTGGTGGGGGTGCGATTTCTTGGGCATCCAAGAGACAAACTTGTATATCTCACTTGACCATGGAATCCGAATTCATAGCTTTAGCGGCTACTAGAAAAGATGCTGAATGGATTAGAAATTTATTATTGGATATAAAACTTTGGCCTATTCCTATACCTCCAATTTCCATTTACTGTGATAGTGAGGCRATTCTGTCAAGAGCCTACAGTGGTACCTACAATGGTAAGTCCAGACATATAAGTCTGAGACATGAATTTGTGAGGCAACTCTGTCAAGAGCCTACAGTGGTACCTACAATGGTAAGTCCAGACATATAAGTCTGAGACATGAATTTGTTAAGCAACTGATTCAATATAGAGTCATCACTATAACCTATGTGAGGTCAAGTAAAAACTTGGCTGATCCTCTTACCAAGGGCTTGACCAGAGAATTGGTAAGAATGACAACCAAAGAGATGAGATTAAAACCCTTTATTTAGTCACTTGTAATGGTAACTCGGTCTGAACTGAAAAACCATCAGTATTGGGTTTAATGGGTAACAACAAGTTACAGTAATGTGATTATTAGCACTGACATTGAGAAATTTGTCATCACAACATAAATAGTGTTGTCCGTTATGATGAGAGGTTGAGTTAAACTCTTAATGAAGTTCTGAAATGTGTCAAATAACGGAACACATAGTGGAACTTCACCTATGTGAACATAGAAGTGTTGCCGCTTCTTATGAGAGTTTGGGTTTGCTCTCGGGATTGTTCATGAATCCAGGAAAGAAGCACATGGCCATAACAGTGCTGAGCAAAACTTGAAACTCTTGTAGAGACTGGACATTTTCGTTTGTATGGGCGTCTCCGATTTATCTTGAGAGTAATTGGTTTAAGGTCTTAACACCAATAACTTTGACAAGGCTCTGAGATATCTATACTAACAAAAGGTTTAAGTTGATAAACACMTTTTGTATRYATAAYTGTGTYATAGTAGTTTGRATTGAGAGAGAACTATGTAATTGATCAATCAATATGGGGGATTGTTGGATTTAATCTCTTATGAGATTAAATCCAATGGGTTTGATTGGTCAATTACATG